ATAAATTTAGAGATGTATAAGATAGAGATAGAATTTGAGAGGATGTGAGAGATGAAGATGAACAAAAAGTTGTTGTTTTTATATATATAAATAAATAATTGATTGGAAAAGATGAATGATTTGGAGTTATGTAATTTGAATTAACATAGAAGAAGATGAATGATTTGGAGTTATGTAATTTGAATTAATATAGAAGAAGATGAATGGTTTGAAGTTGAATGCAAATATTTAATTAAAAAACATAAATTGACAAAAATAATAATATAGTAGTGGATATTAAAAGAATGAAGGAGAAAAAAGAGAAATGGGGTTCTAAGCTCTAGGAGAAGCCATCTCAACAACTCATGGTTTCTTCTTTAATATATAAACCCAAATAAACAAAAATGCAAACGACCTCCAAAAAAACTGAATAGATGGGAAGAATTGAGAGGTTAAGAGAGATATTATGCTTAAACAATGTTAAATTGTTTCTTCAATGATTCATATGTCACTTTATCTACACAAAAAGAAATCGATATGCCTACATAATTCCAACTATAATCTGAATGTCTCCGACTAAAAAAAGAAAATATTATACTTACATAAACAAAAACTCATATCATGATTTGTCTTATTGAATGACACCTCAAATAAACAAAAATGCAAATAACATYCACAAATTTATAACTGAATAAAGAGAAAAAAATCGAGAGATTAATAGAGAGATTATCATAGAAGTGTACCACAAAATTATACATGAATATAGAGGAAGAATTGAGAGATTATTATAGAGGTTTACCTTGAAGAGAAAAAATGAAAGTTTGTAACCAAATAGAGAGAAATAATGAGAGTTAAAAGAGTAATTATTAGAGGGAACATGAATAGGTTGAAACAACCTAATTAAAAGGTCTTAAATGTGAATATTAAAAATTAAAAACAAATATTGAGATAGGAAAAGCTTGAAAAAAGGAGAAAAAAGATAAAACATTTTCTTGTTTTGAGAAGAGGCCACATCATTACATGTGGTTTCTTCTTTAATATATATATAGATTACCAGATAAGCACTTACAGATATCACTTACCTTATTGATTGAGCATGACAAGGATCAATAATCTTGAAGCAAGACACAACCCAAAAGTTTTACCTGGTAAGTGAGGGATACGAATCCCTACCAAGTATAAAACGCTTACCAACAATGTATTTTGATGACCGAGAATCTTACACGATAAAGTAAATGAAAATGTTTTTGATAAGTGCTTACCTGATAAGTAGTTGGTAAACGACCCCTTAAATTAAATATAATTTTTATTAAATATTTGTCAAAAATATATCTTATGATTTAATATTGTGCTCGTATTTTCCCTTCAAAATGCCTATAAATAACATGGTACAAGAACTCCAACCTCATTTCAAACCATTCGAACTTGTGCAAGGGACAAAAACTTCGAGCCGACATAATGGCTTCGTCGGCAGCAAAACCAAGGTATGGTTTTTCTTCATGATTTTCCATAAAATAAGTAAATGTTCATCAAAAATCCGTCATAATTCTTTTTAACCGATCGATATCTATATCAACCGTCTCAATTTGATTGATACTTATAGAAGCCAGTTGGTAGTACTGTACCAAGTATGCAAACTTGGTTGGTACACGGTATTTGAAGTTGCGTACCATACTAGTATCATGGTACCGACTTATTTAATTATTTATTAGTTTATGTATTTTTTTTTTAATGTATTGAATATTTAAAATTGTAACTTTAACTACTTTGTTTTTATGTTTTAAGTTCTTTTTATTCAAGTTAGAAACCCTTAAAGATCACAAGTTTTCATCTATGTAACTTGAAATTTGAATGAAATCATTATCAATATGCAGTAATGAAAAAAGTTCATACCAATTAAGTTGGTACCAAGTACACTTAGTTGCCATATAAGATTTTTCATACTAATAATAATTAATTAATACATAATACTTTTTTTTGTTTGGGGTTGGGGGGGTTTGATACCATACCAAGTCAACTCATAACTTTTTTTTTGTTGCATATGATTAATTTTTTTTTAAATATATTAGTTACAACAAATTGAAAGCTAGTAATTATAAATTAATGAAGTGATTGTTAGATTATTTCAACAGATTTTCTAAAATGGAAAAAATGAGATTTAGACAATTTTTTTTGGTCAAATGTATTTTTAAAAACCTTTCTCCAAAATGAAAAAAAATCAGAAACAATGTGAAATTTAGAGAATGTCCAAAAATGATTATCATGAAAGAGAAATATTTTTTTTTATTAAATTCCCATCAATAAGTGTTTGGTAAACGGCCTACCGGGATGGTAACAACCGAGAGTCCTACCCAATAAGAGGGTGACAGTTCCTACTCAGTTAGCACTAATTACCAAGAAAATTGTTGCATTAAACGTCGTTTTAATGGAATAAAATCTTAATCGGTAATTAAATGCTACACTGAATTTTGTTGTTTTAACACAAAAGACTCTAGTTACATGATAATAGTATATTTTAAAAGTCAAAATTTAATCCAAGGAGAAATAAAAATTCCCTTGTGACCACAGAGGTTCAAATGCGGTGGCTCCGGACTATCTGCAAAACAGGTGGTCGTCCTGAGATTAGTCGGCTCGCATAGCGGGTTGGATATCCAGGTTAATAAAAAAAGTCAAAATTTTAGCTTGAGATTCGATAATCGGTCTTCATATCTTGTGTTTGCTTAATTTATGATATTTTTTTTTTGTTTTAGGCTTGAAAATAAGGTGGCCATTGTTACTGGTGGATCTCAGGGCATTGGAAAATGTATTGTGAGGTCGTTTGTGCAACATGGAGCAAAAGTAGTTATTTTTGATGTCAAAGATGAATTGGGAGAACTAGTTTGCCAAGACTTGGGTGTTGACTTAGTATCTTTCGTCCATTGCGACGTAACCCTTGAATCAGATGTAGAGAACGCAATCAACACCACAATTGCTAGGCATGGACAACTGGACATCATGGTTAACAATGCAGGAATTATTGATGAGGCAAAACTTAGCATTTTAGACAATGACAAGATGGACTTTGAACGTGTTATTGGTGTCAATCTAACCGGAGTGTTCTTGGGAACTAAACATGCAGCGCGGATGATGATCCCAAAATGCAATGGGAGCATTATCACAATTGCGAGTGTCGCTTCTATTACTGGCGGGGGTGCATCTCATGCATACACAAGTTCAAAGCATGGTGTAGTGGGACTGGCAAAGAATGTTGCTGCGGAGTTAGGAAAGTACCAAATTCGTGTCAATTGCATATCCCCCTACGTTATACCAACTCCGTTGGCACTTAAATTCTTCCACATGGATGAAAACTCAAGTGTTTACTCAAACCTTAAAGGGAAGAAGATTGGACCACAAGATATTGCAAATGCAACGATCTTTTTAGCAAGTGATGAGTCTGAGTATATTAGTGGACATAATTTGGTCATAGATGGTGGTTACTCTGTTCTCAATCCGGCATTTGGCTTGTTTTCATGGACACCATAGATTCCTAGATCACTACATCGTTCTTTTGTTTTGTGCGTTCGCATTTGTTTCCTCTTTTCCGTTGTTTTCTTTGTTGAATAATGTCACGTTCTCTTCCAAATTCCCATAATAATAAGATGAGAACACTTAGGCAAATTCTAAATGTATTATGTAGATAATTGATGTTTATTCCTAAATTGTATAATCCCCTCTGCAAAGCATTATTCCTTACAATTATAATATTAGTATAATTTCATTAAAATGGGGGAAAGGGTAAAAAGACGATTTTACCCTTGAGTTAACAGTGCCGCCATTAGTACCATTTAATTCAGGGATCGTAGTCATGCAAAAATGGCAACTAAAGGGATCAAATCCGTTATTAATGTCATTATGTTTGACACATCATGGTGACCAAATCCGTAATTCACTCTATTTTATGATAACTAACAATGACTAATATTCTTTTAGTTATATTTAAGCATAATTTTTTAATTCACTTTTCTCAATAACAATAAGTTATTGGTAAGATTGTTTCGAATTTAAACTACGAAATTCCTACTTTTACGATTAAATACGAAGTTTGTCAATAGACTATTCATAATTTTTATTTAAATTCTTTATTTATTTTATTGATTTGTTCAAAATATTTATTTTTTGACGTTTTAGTCTATAAAACTAACTATGTTAACTGAACATTTGTTAAGTCGGGTAATATTTATGGTTCTAAATAATTCATTATGGCGTGTTATGGCATCAAGGGTTGGATTCACCGTGATGTTAAGCCATATGGCTCAGTTCTAAGAATTGACTTCCATTGTAACGCTTTACCCGTGTTACAACGTGTTATGGCGCGTTATAACACGTTATTTTGTAAGCTGTGAGGTGTTTTAATATGTAACTTGAAGGATAAATGATAACTATGTACGAGACCTGTGACTTAAATAAACATAAAAAAAAACTTAATAACTAAAAGCCTAAATAGGTAACTACTTATTCTTATTCTCATACGCGAATTCTTTGAAAAGTGAAGAAAACAGTGAGTTGAGAGATTCAAGAGATTTAATCTTGATTTTGCAATCTTGATATCATTTTTTATAAGCTCTGTATGTTTCAATAATTCTTCTTTCTTTATTAAGTTTTATTATTTCATACGAATTACATTTGTTCTACGTTATCATTTAGAACACTAACGCACACAAGTGTCTATGTTTGTCTATACTAGAAGGGTACTCGTGCAATGCAGCGATATACATCTTGATTTTAATATTTCATTTTATTCTTTATCTCAATCGATGTTATATTATGGTCTTATGTGATTTTGAAAAGGAGATGATGTTTTTATTTTTGAATAAAATATAAATTTGAAGATATCATAAAATTTTGACAAAAATATATCGACATTAGTATCAAATTAACTACTTAAAATTTCTATTTTTCGTTTAATTTTTTTTTTGAAAGGCAAAAGGAAGGGCAAAGAAGAGAGCTTCGGCAAGGCCATTACCCTCAACCAAGCCAACCACTAATATTAAACAAAACAGAAGCGAATCCAGCAAGAAGCTAGATACAAAAAATGTACAAAATACCAAATACACGACGAGGGGCAAGAAGACGAAAACATCCCCTTACAAAACCAAGGTAAAAACCTATCCCAAACAAAACGGAAAGACTAAACAAAGACTAAATAAAATAGGGAGAAGAAGACCAAACATCCCAATCAAGATGGAATTTACGATTCCTGATCCCCATCCAAAGCTTCGAGACGTTTTGAATACACGGGAAAGGGTCTTCATCTTTTTTTTAGATTTTACCCCATCCTCAGCATGAAGAATTTCGTTCCGCCACTTCCAAAGATGCCAAACAGCCACAGCGCAAACTGATAAAAAAATCACACCAACCTTGCGAAGAGATCCTACTTGATTGATTAGCATTTTGAAATCAGCCACCGAAGAAAGTCGTGGAGCTTGAAGATCCCACCAAGCCCAAATTTTCCTCCAAAGAATGCTTGCCACCGAACAAGAAAAGAAACAATGATCCATTGTTTCAACACCTTTTTTCACACAGGATGCACTCCAAAGACTGTACCTGAATCCCTCTTTTTGATAGGTTAAATCTTACAGGAATGGCTTCTTTAAGGAAGCGCCAAATGAAAATGTTTACCTTCTTCGGAATTAAAGGGCTCCAAAAACATGGTTYGTTGCTTGAACCATTCGAATYAGCAAGCCCTTGGATTAACTYTGACATGTGGTTTACCGTGAAAATCCCTTTTTTGTGCCAATTCCAAGACCACACATCCTCGCCCGAAGTATTAAAATGCGTTTGAGAGAGTTGCATTTTTAAAGCTAGGAGATCATCTAAGCTTCTTCCTCTAACCGTTGTATTCCAGTCCCAAACACCAGACCAAGAATCATTAGTATAAGTCCATCTATCTTTGAAGATGGCGTTTTTATCCCTTTCCAAAGCATAAAGTCTAGGAAATATATCTTTCAACTTTGACCCTTGACCAATGCTTGCATCATTCCAAAAGAGAGAGTTGGATTCTTTAGCAATCTGTTTCGTAAACGATTGAATAACATTCTGATTTGCCACTATCACATTTCTGCAAGTGTTGACTATAGATACCCATACACTATTTCCAGCCAAAGGCCTATTAGAAAAGAGACCTCCATCCTCGCCATAAAATTCAGAAATAACATCTTTCCATGTGGCATTAGAACTAGACAGGAACCTCCAGACCCATTTAGCTAACAAAGCATCATTTTTAACTTTTAAACAGACTCGTTTAATTTTTTAATTCAATTTTTTTTATTATAATTTAGTTTAGGTTCAACAACGAAGTAATTTATATATTTTTTTTCTAAAGATAATAACTAATTATTTTGTTAGAACTCGATAATTATCCTAATTATATTTTAGATTTTTTATATATTAAAATAAGATATTTATCATCTATTTGATTATGTTTATCCGCAGTTAGTTACACGAATTCAAATATGGAGCCTTAATAAGTTGTATTTATGCATAATTACTTGTAATCTTGAATTTTAAGTAATATGTATCAATATACAGTATTTCGTGCATAAAAAATGGTTTTTAAGAGTTTTTTGTCAAATGCTTCATAATATAGTGTGTATATATATATCTCATTTGTATTTTTTTTTTTCAACTTAAAAACTTGGACTTGTTATGTTTCTAAAACAATTTGGAACAAGAGACTCGAATACAAAACTTCACATAAAAAATAAGAAACTAATTTATAGATTAACGATGATTTTATAAAATAAATGTATGACGTTATTGTTTATAATAAAATGTGGCCGCCACCTAATTATAGGTCTAACTATAAATATTTATTCGAAGATAACGCTTTCATTTAATGTTGTGAGATTTTTGTCTTCAAGATGCCTATAAATAATATGATCCCAACCACACATCAAGCCATTCCAATTTGCGCCAACAGACAAATTTAGTGGCAGCATCATGGCTTCTTCCACTCCAAAATCAAGGTAATACTCTTTTATATATATATATATACTATATTATAAAGCATTTGGCTAAAACTCTTAAAAACTCTTAAACTCTTAAA